TTTTTAAGAATATAAAATCATTTAAAAAAATTCAAATAATAATAATTTTTAAAATATCTGCAAAGTTACTATCAATTTATGACATTTATTGAACATAAAATTCAATTTGACTATAGTTTTTTTCTATATATGAGCAGATAAACTATATAATAAAATTTTTTCAAAGAACTATTTTTAATCATTAGATTGTGACTTAGTTCAAATGAGGTTAAGAAATTGATTTCATCAAATAAATTATTTTTTTATCGAATACTTAATGGTATTGACATCTTAATCCAAAATTCATATGATAAATCAAATTTTTTTAAACATCTTGTGCACCTTCATCAACATTGTTTGATGAAAATTCTTAAAAACAACCTTATATTGTAGATTATAAATCATGATCAGATGACGGGTATTTGAAACTTCACAAACACATACTCTCCATCATTGTCCTTACGTACTTATCTCACTCTCATTCTAGTATGAATTTCAACTTGGACTTTTCAACTTTTCAAAAATGCAAAGATCCAAGATTTTATGCCACAAAATATATTCACACTAATTTTGAGTAATAATCAATAAAATATATATAGTAAAACCATATAGAGAGTGAAAATATTGGAAATTATCTTCAAACATCACTATATATATACTAGAGTCATGCATGGGACTTGATAACTATATCCAAATCTGACTCACAGTTGCGCATGAATCAATTGTATCCATCCATGACATCTTGTTCATACCCATTATACTCCCATCTCATATCTATGAGTACATATCCAAAATAAAACCACTGAAGAGTATTTTGAAGTGTTTTTAAAAAGAGAGACATGCCAATGACTTATTATAAACAATTACATACAAATGTCATGATTATAGCACAATATTTTGAAGTGTTTTTAAAAAGAGAGACATGCCAATGACTTATTATAAACAATTACATACAAATGTCATGATTAGAGCACAATAACATGAGGATATTTATCATTTGGGGCTTCAATCGATAACCCATATAGTTCAGGATGTTGTCGTCGTCTGAGAAGTTGTTTTTGAACATAGTGCTGGATGACGGGATGCACAAGATGGATAACACGATTTGCGCTAGTATCAGATGCAGGTCTTTGCTCTTGCGCCTCCATCACAATAAATTGTGGAACTCATTGCTAACGTCACTGTCAATGCACTACTTCATCTCTCCATCGGTGACCTTGTGTTTCATTTGCGTCTTGTACTCGTTGTCAACTTTTGCATTGAGGACGGCGATGGCGTTGTGATCTTCAGAGGAGAGACGGTGTCATTCTCGTCGTTTTCCTTAAGCATATGATCGTACATCAAAATTGACGAGCGCGCTTTCCTTTTGATCAATGATCGAGTAGATGGAACGTCTTTTTCTTTGTCGTCTAAGAGTGCATACTTGATCGTCGCGTGCTTGAGTTTATCCTTGGCATGCTCAATATGGTTGCGCTCAACATGAAGGTGGACAAGTCAAAACTTCATGATTGGATCTAGCAACAACGTCATGATGTGAATATCATCAAGGACAAACTTGCTATACAAGAGCGGTAATATGATGCTCTTTATTTCTTTGATTGAGTTGGAGTCTTTGGTCATCTTCACGTTGACATCCTTGTACACCTTAATGCTCAAGATGGAGATTCAAGATCACACGGCGTCACCACACAGTAAAAGGAGCAAGGAAATCAATCAGTTCGTTAAAAAATGTCCACAAAATATCATTGAGCTTGCTCAACTTGTACTTCATCTGTAGGAGCGGCATGAGCTCGTTGCACATTTCTTTGATGCTTAGAATACAACAGAGCAGCGAGTGCCATCCAATTGCATTCTACTGTTTGAGTGTCTTGCTGAGCTCACTTCGTAGGATTTGTGTGTTGTAGTACGTGGTCAGATTCTTGAACGCATCTATCAGCATGAACAGCGCCAACATGTGTTGTACGTACTTATTTTGGTAGAACGGTTTGCTCCTGACACCCCTATACATCTTTGTCTTCTTATTCACTACAGTCGTCAGCACGGTCACCAACTTGTTATCATAGCAAGCAAACCAAAAGAAAATCGATGGGATGTCATTAGCGCTATAGCAATCCGAACAGCTACTCAAGACCAGGATGATCTGCTGATACATGTCTGTCATTACCTTGAACATTGCCAGACCTTTATCAAACTCTTCCAAGATCATCTATGCCGTATGATTGATTTCCTCAACAAGCTTTACGTGCAACGCAAACGTACAGATTAAATATTTCATCTATGTAATGAATGATGATGCACAAGTACAAATTCTTCTTGAACGCATTCATCCACAAGTTGAATATACATGTTACGTTCAAACTCAAATTGAAGTGCCTTTTGAGAACTAGGTTGTTTTTTTCGTTTGTTTTGAGCTCATGAATTAACTTTATGGCTAATCGTCGTCAAATTGGCGAGCTGTTTGTCGATTGTGACTCGGCCATTGCTGCTTGATCTGTTGTTCAACGACGTTTGCATGAGTGTTTTTAGATCTAACATGCTTAAAGACTTGAACATATGACAATTATAAAACTGTCACTTAAGAGATTCAAATAGCTGAATAGAGCTGTCATATCCGTCCATTTGCTTTAAAACCAAAGATTGTAAATGCAATTCAACAATATTCATAGCTTGTTATTTAAAATCTCTCAAGCTATTGTTGTTGTAGGTGAATATTTTGATTAGACCCATAGTCTTCAACTTGCACTTTAGTTATGTTTTCCAACACGTCCATTATACTTGACCGTACTTTATTCTGCAACTTCAGATTTTGTGATTGCCATCTTGTTTTATCAAACATTTAAAATTGTACTTGTGTTGTTTGAGTGAAATTTATTTTCTTTTATATATTTGTGGAAATATTATGTTGAAGAGATCAATTGATTTTTGTTCTTCATACATCATATCTAAAAAGTACATCAAACCTATAGGTTCATCATATAAACAACATGCGGTATCATTTGCGACGACATTTAAAACTTTGCCAGGTTAGAGTAAACCACTAGCTTTGTTGGTCACGATCTCAACATTATTGGAATTGATTACTTCCTTGACAAAGTCGACAAATCTTGAGACATCTTAGACACAAATAGCAAACTTTTGACGATTCTTAAGCCATCCTTGGTAAGGATAGCAAACAATGAATTAGATTGAAGTTATGAATCTTTGAGTCACAATCATCTTAGATTTATTTACAATTTCTTACTAACTTACAATATAACTGAGGATTTCAAACTTGGAAAATCCAAAATAAATTTAAGTGAAATGTTTGAATATACGAAATGAAATGTTCAAAGTTATTTTATGTTGGATATTATATCCAAGAAGTGTTGTTCTTTTGGATAAAATAGTGTGAAGTATCATAAATTATGGCTCAAAGTATAGTATAAAGTTAGTATCACAATGAATGTTTCTTTCAATGAGCCTAGATCATTGACAAAATAAGAAAGTTTCCAAGCTTCTGATATTGACAAGGAAAAATCTACACTCATGTATGTTGTTGACAAGAAGATTGATCTATATGTGATTAATGATGTGACACAAGAATAAGTTCCGGTACAAATGAAGCAAAATTTTGAAGAGCAAGAATTAAAGAAGCAAGTTATGGCCGATGAGTCTCAAATATCTACATCAAACAATACAGATTAACCAAATTTAACTACTAGAAGATCATTAAATCTAATTAGTAGAGCTCTTGCTGCAAGGTATGGATTATGAATTAATTCATCTATTTTTGAAAATTTTGATACTAATACAGAGAATGATGATGACATTGAGATAATTTTGAAAGAAATTAAACCTTCATTTATGCTAAAGCTCAATCTTTTGTCAATAAGCTTAAGTGAAATGTTATTATGGAACAAAAAATGCAATTGTTGATGTATGACAATACCTACTAGTTAGTGGAATTACAAAAAATATTAAGCTTTGATTAATTGCAAATGGGTTTATAAGCTAAAAGATTTTTCTCTCGTCATCTGGTGGATTGTTACTTTGGTGTATGAAGGTTTTACACAAGAGATTAATGAATACTATAACAAAGTAATTCCACTTGTAGCGATGTATGCTACAACTTGCATGATATATGCACTTGCTGCGATATTTGATTTGTTTATATAGAAGCTAAAAGATTTTTCTCTTCTCATATGCTGGATTGTTACTTTGGTGTATAAAAGTTTTACACGAGATTAATGAGTACTATAACAAAGTAATTCCATTTGTAGCCATGTATGCTACAACTTGCGTGATATATGCACTTGCTGCGATATTTGATTTGTTTATACATGAGATGGATGTAAGGAATGCATTTTTCTATGAATTTTTAGAAAAAAATAAATCTAAATGTTACAATTAGTTGATTTTGAGTAAAAAAAAATAAAAAAATTGATTTGTAGATGATTGAAATCATTATATAAATTAAATCAAATTCCAAGGAAGTGTAATGGAAGATTTGATGAATTAATTAAAACATAATTTTTATCATGAAGTTTGTCTGATTTTAATGATTCTTGTGTTAAATGTTATAAATGACATGCACCATATGTAAAAACCAACTAAATTGGGCATTAACATGTAACATTGGGATAAATCAAAAAGTTACTCGAGTTTAACTTGCTAATTACTTCCTCCCCCTTCGTAGGTTCACTACGTCTGCTGTTGATAAATCATAATTTTAAAAAAATGTATCCCGCGATAGTCCTTTCCTCAGTCCATCCATCGGGGAGAAAATACCTCGGCGGCTTCACGGGAGGAATCTCCCTCCTCCTTTCAGGCAGCCGATCGAAGACGGAAAGCTTCCGGCAGCCCTTTATTAGAATTAGCGGAGGTAATATTTTACAACCCGTTGCAAAAAGAAAAACGGTCGATGTAGAATGACTGTCATGATAGGATTGGTATTTACGGCTACCCACGCTAGCGGGTGTCTGAACCTACCAGGTTCGTTACAATGTTTTTGTTGACTAATGTATGTACGACGTTTTTGTATGTACCACGTACAAAGATGTTGGTCCACAAACAAAAAGTCTAACATCCGAATCCTGACACCACTAAGGGAAGTAACATTTAGAGAGGAGAATTAACAAGCAGAGAGTAGCGATTTCAACGAGCGAAAGGAGCGAAGGTCAGCTGATTACGTCCCAACATCGCACGCACGGTCTCGTCGATTGCCTCGTCATGGCCACAGCCATGCACGCAGACGCTACGCTGACTCTGGCGCTGGCGCCAATTGCTGTTCGTAATTCGTCGTGTCGTGGAGAGTCACCGATTGCGCGGCTCCGACTTAATTCCACGACTGCCGTCGTTCGAGCAGCAGCAGCAGCGACGACGAACGAATCCTTCTCTGTCAGTACGTGGATTGTGTCCGTTTTGGCTCGTAATTGCGAAAGAGTTTGGAAGCAGTGCTTGTGAGCTGGAAGCTTCTCGCCATGATGATGTTTCCGAGAACGGGGAAGAATGCGAGTGTGGCGGCCTCGCCTGCTCTCGTGTCGTGTGACTAGATCTGCTTCTATTGTTCCCGTGGTCCTCTGTTCTCTCTTCGTCAAGTTTCCGAGAAATTCCGATTGCACTCCTCTTGGTATGAAATTTCGGAATTTTCTCACTGTAGCGTTGCACGTCGAGACATTCCGAATACGCTGAGCTTTTCGCTTCAACTCGTTTGAAGGAAACCAGGCCTCGAAATTGGACTTCCATCTACCCATCTCCAGCCGGAGAGTACAATTCGGGGTTCCTTTATCATCACAAGTCGAGAGGAATATATAGACTTACAGATTAAAGTGCGTCCTTCAAATTTATTCTATTTTCTGAAAGGAATGCTCGGAATCATCGCCTTCGCTCCAGCTGTGGCTCACACCCAGCTTAGCTGTTTTTTCAGAGATTCAATCGGAGCATGGCCGTCGTGGAGAAGGCCTGACGAGGCGGGAGACTATTCTGGCTGGAGTCGTCACAGCATGGGCGGGCTCCGCAGTATCGAGCTTGGCGTTCCCTGCGGGAGTCGGGGCCGCAGAAGTGAAGCAGACAAATCTTCCCATCGAAGAGATAAAGGTGCCCCAGAAGCTTGAAGTTTCCCTCGCATCAGAGTCTTTGCAGCATGGTGTGCTCTGGTAACAACCATACCAGAGGCTTAGAAGGTTAGCATTTTGCCCCTGCTAATGTTTGTGAGAGCCTTGCATTGCACCTCGCCGTAGACCACCGAAACCAGCATCTCGTCAGGAGGGAGGGAGGAGCACAGAAAGGAAAATCCCAAGGGCCGAGGGTGCACAACTGACCGACCCAACAGCCCATAGGACCCAGCCCATGAGTTCAAAGTCTGAGTGATGAATGCAATAGACTCTGGAGCCAATGGCTTTGCAGGATGTGATGTGATGTGATGTTTAGCCACGTTGTAATGATGGAAAGTTTTTAATCGTCTCCTCATACACCATCACTCATTCTTGCTGCAGAAAGTTATCGAAGATGATTATGTGAGTCGCAATTATCTGGTGACGGGTAATATGACCAAAAGTGTCTACAAAGACGACTGCAGGTAAACTCTTACATCCTCGTGTGGAATTCCATCATGAAGCCATGCATGCAGCTGAAAGAAGGTTCAAATTTTTCATCTCAAGACAGGAAGGAGGATGATAATGCAGTCCAGTCCAGCTCAGAGTCAAGAGTAAGGTTCGATGACCAGATGCCCTTCACTCTTGATATGTCGCTGCTCCTGATGCAGATTCCACGATCCCACCACAGATGTTACCGGCCTGCAAAAGTACAGCGATGCACTCAAAGTCTTGTTCGATCCTTCATCGAAGTCTGAGCTCCTCAGGATCGAAGTCAGTGGACCTCGCACTGTTGATGTCAAGTGGAGGCTCAGTGGGTAAGTCTGAAGGCACTAGCCAGCACTCACCAGTTGTTAGTCCACCTTCGGGAACTTTTGTTGTACTGAAACTCTCCCTCCCCGGAGCAACTGATCATCAGTTGGCAGACACCGACAAGCTCGAACTCAAAACTCAGACCTGAGAGCTAGAACCGAGACAGAGCTTCTCCGAGCACCTGTAAGACAGAGTCCGGAAATTAGGCTAGACGATGTTAGATCGTAAGTGCAACACTTGATGTCCAACTGCGGAACACGAACGAATTAACCTTGATTAGATTCGCCAATATTGAATTATTGTGGTTGTGATTCTCTAAGTGGGTTCACTTATTCACCGATTCATATTGCAAGGCGAATTAACCTTGATTAGATTCTCCAATATTGAATTATTGTGGTTGTGATTCTCTAAGTGGGTTCACTTATTCACCGATTCATATTGCAAGGCGACGTTTCTGATCGAGAACATGGTTTATTGTATTGTTTATGTTCAGGTTTCTGAATTTCCCATGGCACCCTTACATCAAACCTTATACAGGTATGAGACCATACACTATGCTTTTAGTCTGGATATGGGGATGGTTTGCTTGTCTGCCAGCACCAGGCATCCTCGAATCTCTCTAAACTTTCTCCACAGATTTGATGGTCCCTGCTTTGGGCGTTGGCTTGATGGTCATGCTGAGAGCTTTGTTGTGGTTGCATGAAGATTAGCGGTGGATTCAGACTGACGTGATGGCGTCAGTCTGAATCCATCTGACTGACGCCATCACGTATTGTACTGATCCAATCTTTACGTACTCATTATACTCGGCTTGGCTCTGCAACGATTGTAACGCAACACTGTCTGACTTGCTCACAGGAAGCTCGCGTTACACAGTTGACGAAGACGGCTTGATAGAATCATACAGCGAAGAGTGGGACATCTCTGTGCTCGAAGCATTCGCCCAGTTTTTGACACCTTCTTGGGCGTCCAAGGATGCTCCCAAGTAGCTCATCGATCAAACATTCTCACCCCACGAGAATAAGCATCCCCTTGTACATTTTGACATAAATAAATCCAGAGCCTGAGCAGTCAGACTTTCACCACAATCGTTCCGATCAGTCACGATGAAGCCACAAGTATGAGTTCTTTCGCGTCAAGGATCAATCAATGTGCACCAAAGTATCTTCTTTTCGCTGAATAATCCATTGCCAATCCATCGTCAGGGATCAAACTTCCGGAAGCATTTTAACAACACAAGGAACCGTCGACGGCCCTGGTTACATGAGTCTGTAGTAAATTCCGTCGTGGACGGCCTGCCAACAGGCGGGGCGCCTGAGATCTACCGTCGCCGTCGCTGAGGTGACGGTGGTGACGGCGATTCGGAAATACATAATGAGTAAGAAAAGTAAGAATGTTGACTCGCCAGATTCCGCCGTCCGTTAATTGCAATATCTGACTCTGTCAGCTGTTCTTCGCACGAGCGCGAGCGACAAGAGAAAGAAAACGATTGCCGACGCAGTTGACGCTTGTCAAAGGCTCGTCACAAGATGAGTCGGAGCGAGATGTGATGTAATGCAGGCTGCGTCGAGGTCAGAACGAGACCTAGGAAATTTGAGCTGAATGCCGCCCGGACAAGACAGGACCAGACAAGTCTGCGCAGGATTGCGCCATGAAGGTCGTAGTGACGGGAGCGACTGGCTACTTGGGAGGGCGATTGGTCCAAGGACTCATCCATGCATCGAACGAAGTTCGAGCCCTCGTTCGCAAGAGCAGCGTCGTGGATGAGATTCCGCAGCAGGTTGAGCTGGTGTACGGAGACGTGCGGGACCTCAATTCGCTCGTTTCTGCGTTCGCAGGATGCGACGCTGTGATCCATGTCGGCGCAATGGTCTCCTCCTGGAGTCCAACGCCCGCTCTTTACTACACGGTGAGACCCCCTCCTCCTCCTCCTCCTGTGCGCTCTCATGGCCTTCCTCCGAAATTTTCGTTCTCTGCCCGTCTTCGCAAATTCTCTAAACTCATCTTGGACACCAATAAATTCCTTAACCGAGACAGGTCCATCGATGACGACGGCTTGTTACCACAATGTCATCACAGAATTACGTTTTGGATATCGCAGCATTGAGTATGTCGTTCATCAGACGCCCGCCTGGAAATTCCAGTGCGGGAGAAGTAGTCAGTAGTGGCAGAGCATGCACAAGAGGAGGATTCCTTGGACCTGAGACGTTCATTGTCTGGGAAGTGACAGGGCAAGAGCTTCACTGCTCTGTAGTCAATGCTGTACAGGACACACAGCATTCCGAATCTCATGATCTACTGGTGTAGATTCAAATCCAGCAGAATATAATCAACACACCTTTCGTGAGAGAGTTGCATCCGGAGAGATTCCTCCCGTGTTCGGAAAGCTACCTTTTTCCAACTGAAAGCCAGTTCTGGAATGGTGGAATTAGTATTACGAATCAGAACAAATGTCTGTGTTCTGTATTGCATCGCTTTGTACGTGTGATCACATCAGATGCCCGTCGGTAAATGACCGTCGGGTAGATGATGGTGATGGTCCGTGGTTCCACTTCTAACTTCGAATTCGAATTTGAGGAACCATACTGGGCAATGATCTGTCAGTTCTTATGCACTCGTTTGTTTATTTACCACGTGTTTCATTTTCTGCCTGTTATATCTGTTCTTTATGTTCCTTGCTTCCTGTTTTGATCTCGCCTGCACCTGCAGATTTATGTTCTGGATACATCAGTCTGGATTTTGGACATTTATTTTGTTTCTTTTCTTACAATTATTCATGTTCAATCTCGTATTTGTGGAAGTCATCCCATTTATCGCTGCTGCTGGCTTCCTTGTTCCCACGAGTCATTTTTCAGGGTGTATTCTGGATACTCTGTGAATGCCTTTAATATGAATTCGTCGACTTTTTTCCGGATGCTTTGCTATGTATGTTACGTTGTGATTTGGGGGCTGGTACTGTTGTTTTCGGTTTCATTGTGTGTTTAGTCCCTGTACACAATTATTATTGTTTTATAACTGTACATTCTGATTTTTAGTTGATGACGTTGAATGATGTAGATAAACGTGGAGGGGCTACGAAATGTCATACAAGCCGTGCAGCAAACTCCATCCGTGCAGAAACTTATATATACATCATCATATTTTGCAGTGGGCCCTACAGGGGATGATGCCGTCAATGAGGAGCAGGTCATGCTAAGATTTTAATGGCTTGCAACCTTGTACTTGTTTACATTAATTGCACCACAAAGCCTGTTTTCGGCACTCAAAATGGGTTTTGATGACAGGTACACGATGGAAAGAGCTTCACCTCAGAGTACGAGAAGTCGAAGTACTTAGCTGACATAGTTGCAAGAGATGCAGCGAAGGATGGGGTACCAATCGTGATGCTGTACCCTGGGACCATTTATGGCCCTGGAAAACGCACAGCTGGAAATATTGTTTCTGAATTTGTAAGTACCATCATTTCATGAAGTTGTAGATTCTGTTTTTCTGTTTTACCTCTCTGCTTTGATCAATCCCCTTGTAACCTAGACTTGATACCACCTGTCTCGTTTTCAAGTTCTCTGTTTGCTTCTGTTCATAAAGTTTCTCGATGGACTCCTTGTCTTCACTTTACATTGTTCACTCCAGGTCTTTCGATGTCTTATGTCCCTTTTAAGGTAACCTGCGCTTAACAAATTTTGCAGTAGGTGTGTGCAACAATTAGAGAATTCCTACCATGGTATGAACTGAAATGTTTCATCCCGCACTGTCCAGTACAGAAACCTGTTGATTAAATCTACTGACGAAGCAGCATGACAATCCGTTGCCTTTTATGAGAAACAAAGAGAACCTCATTCCAAAATAAATAGACTTACACAACCTCACATAGTCTCCAGACTCTGCACCTTTACATCCAAACTTTGGGTCATTAACTCACAGGTCCTACGGTTCACACGCATATGTAGCATTCGGAATAGCCTTGTTCATACTATTGTCACAATGCTCTGCACAACAGTTTTCAGTCCCACAGTATAGTTGTATGTAAAACACCCATCAATTGGTATCCACCAAACGGTGCGGCAATTAACGTTCTACAAGCGGGTAGGTTGATCACAAGCCTTCTGTCTTGCTCGCTTGCACACATCACGGGAGTAGCAAATTTTCTATACTCTTAGGATTGCTTCTGAAGTGAAGAAATCAATCTTCTGGAGAGTGACCAGGCAAGAACTTCATTGTCCTGACCTCTTGTCACCTCGCAGACACAGCAGTGTTTTGGGAAAGACGAGAGTTCTTGCTTTTGAGTACAGGGCACCGGTATAGAATAAAAGTACAATAGAGTAAAATCTACATACCTTTGGTGAGAAAATAACCCTGAAATTGATCCGGAGATTCATCCTATGCTCCGAAAGCTACCTTTCCTAGTTGGAATCCAGTTCTGGAATGGTTGAACTCGTCCACTTTAGACATTTAGTCTCTGAGTTCTGCCCTATGAGTTCTTTGCTCGTAGAGAATAGTCTAGACTCAACAATTGTAACACTTTGTAAGCCTTTCTAGTGCAATCACGTCTGTGGGGGATCCATTTGTAGCTCGTACAAATGGATCAGCCGATGAGATGTTCAGCTACCCCTCTAATTTCTATCACTTGAATCGATTTGTCTCTAATGTTTGATTTTGAAACAGGTTTATATCTTTCCGGTCTCCTGTAGCTGCAACTCATCCTCTGTGTTTTTGCTGCCTGCTTTCCTGTTTAGGCAGCTCATTTGCAGGCTTCTGATTTGCAGGTTACCTTGTGAATGCTTTCGTGAAAAATCTGTCGAGTGATTCAGTTGAACGTTATGCCTTGTTTCAGTCATGTACTTCAGTGCTTTACAGTTTTGATGCATCGGGCTTAGGTCCTGTGTTGCTAATGTTCAGTGACAATGTGTGCAGATCGTCGAGAGATTCAATGGTCGGTTACCCGGTTACTTAGGCAGTGGGAACGACAGAAATCCTCTGTGCCATGTAGATGATGTGGCTTTTGGCCACATAGCTGCTCTTACCTACGGGAGAGTCGGAGAGCGTTACTTTCTTTGCGGTGATGCCGTGTCTTTCAAGGAAGTTCTTGATGTGGCAGCCGAATTCACAAAGACCTCGAGGCCTATGTTTACTCTTCCGCTCTGGCTCCTGGAGATCTACGGGCGAGCGTCATGCTTCTTTGCCAAGCGCTTTGGCTTTATACCGGCGGTGACCCCTGAGGTATGTTTTACGCATCAACGGGTTTGTGTTCTTTCAACACGAAAGTGAACCATTTTCTTTAGATAAAAATTATGTTATGTTCTCATTTTTTGTTTCGATTTTTGTCTACAGGCAATTGCGGTTTTGAGAAAAAAATGGATTTATAGCTCTGAGAAGGCCGAGAGGGAATTGGGGTACAGATCTAGACCATTCGCTGAAGGTTTGGCAGAGGTCATAGTGTGGTTGAAGGATTTAAAATTGATTAAATACTAAGCATGTAAGTAGTGTTGTGAATTAGCAACGGAGTCGAGACCATAGAAGAAGTAAATCAATGAAGAAAAAATATCTGTAAAATGTAAGACGGATTCACGGTTTATTATTGAAGGTAAATAAGAATTAAATTTACCTCTGGGACTACGAAATCAACTATCATTATGGTTTTTGGATTTCGGCATGAAAGATGTATATATTGCTGTCTAGTCAATAAAGCAATCTGGTCAGAGAATACAGTTGTCCAGTGATCTCACACTTGTGAGATGTTGCATTATAGAGATGAGGGGTTAGTGATAGCAATCCTTCTGGATTCGAGCAGGAGCTTGGTTGAAGGTGGGGAGTGCTAGGTTGAGAGTTTTGATCTCAGGAGCATTGCTAAGAATCTACCTGAGAGCTATATTGAACGCATGCAACTTATTTATGGCAAGTGCAGGAGAGTCGTCTCTACCTGATATGGTAGAGATGTCATTTAGAATTGATCCTTATGTATCATTTTCTAGATGATGGCACATTCACACACTGATGTGTGTTATATAGGTCCATATGGATCGTATGTACACACTGAATTTCAGAAGCAGAGTTTTCCAGACTAGGTTTCTAATGATTGTGAGTGGATTGACGTACGATGTATTTTATTTGTACATGTCCTTAAACATCTCGTTACAGGAACTCTTTGATTTTCTTGTTGATCTGTATGTGCTGACTACACTTGCTTTTATGTTTTCATGAAACTGATTTTCAGTCAAGGGAAATTCCTGCAATTCTGTTCTTGCTTTGCTTTCTGTGTATGATATGTTTTCTCATGGATGGTTGTTCTGAGTGGAGTGACACTCCCTTTGTTCCCTTTTCTTCTCCTTGGGTGGATACTGCCTGGCAATATTTTACATAATTTAGGGCAATTAACATCCATCCATTTTTCCTCGGATTGTTGTTCCTCGAGTTATCCTCATGCGCAGTCAAGTGCAGAAACCCATGCACCTCATTATCCACTGATGCCCCAGGAGATTCTATATGACCTCCCATGCTCTAGTCCTTGTGCAGAAACTAATCCATGAAGCATGGGAGGTCGTATAGAATCTCCTGGGTCATCAGTGAATAAACAGGTGGATGGGTTTCTACACTTGAAGTTCTTCTTAATGCTCCAGACTGGCTCGTCTATACTGCACAGTTAGCTCCCATGCATGTCAGGTTCACAGCTTGGACTAGCTTCTGCACTCCAATGTTGTATTGCATATGTTGAGTTGCCGTTTCAGTGCAGTCAGCCATGATATATGTCGACTATCCGATGTATTTCCGTGGCAAGCTGGAGACGTACCTTGAGTTGTCGCTTACATGGCTACCCTCATGATAATCACTTTTCCGAGAACGCTTGATTTTCGGCACATGCGACTCTCGAGCACCACTGGCCCCTTGAGTTCCGCAACTCGAGCTTGTGGAATTAAACATACACACACTCAGAAAAAATCAGTTTTTTCCCGAAGCTCATTTGCAGCAGTGATGCAATCTAAAATCATTGGGTTCAGACCTGACAAAAAAAGAAGATATCATTACCGCCCATTTAATATTAAAGAAGGGAACAAGTTCTGTCTGGTTGCCATGTCCTTGTGTTGGGTTCTATTTCTCTGAGTTATGACCCTTGGATCGAATTCCAAGGAACAATTTATTGCGACCTCTCAGCCTCGTACCCATTCTACTGACGGAGTTTAGACAATCTACTAGCTTTATGTATGCGATAGACATCGTGCATACAGATTTATAACAATAGCTATCTCGCTGGTAGGTCTCAATCGAATGCCTAATGTATAGATATAGATATATATATATATATATCACGGGTGATACCCCTAGTACAAATCATCACTGTTATCTCCTGAACATCTGAAGCTACCACAGGAACGACACAACACAAAATCACTACTCATGATAGTCTACTTGAGACATGTATACTGGTGTGTATTTCTATAACAATCATAACATGTCTACTTCACCAAAACCTCACATTACCATACATTTCATCGCCATAGAGACTTGGATTCTGTCCTTTTGGATTCTCCTCATGACCCCACACTTTCTGACTATATATCTTATCTTAAAGAATAACCATCTCCTTTTCCGAATATTATGTCTTCAGCGCCAGAAAGAACGCCAATACTTATTACCAACACCAAGCAACTCTCTTCGCCCTACTCTTCATCCTTCCAGATGTTTTTCAGCTTTACCTGGCCGCCTGTCGACGTTTTCACTTCGACACTGGGCAGGATGTGATCCTGAAGCAATCTTGAGATTCAGACAATGAATCAAGGTCTGGGTCTTCACTAATGTTAGAGAGAGTCTAAATGGGGATTGGATGAACAACAGACAGACTTAAAAAAAAACCTTTCTAAAATACCTTCATAACAAAAATCTTTTCACTCTAACTCCGAGTAAGTGCGAGACATCAAGGGTAAGGTCGTATGACTCGTGTCACCGTTAGCAAGGTAGCCAAAGTTACTTCCCGTACTTAGGCACTCTCTAGTCATGCATTAACTGACCTACCCGTATCATTTCAACTATTTATCTAGGACGAGAATCTTTCACCTCAAATGTACTATTCGACTGCTCAGCTGAGTCTGCATTCAAAGAATATAGAGATGAGAAATCGGATCCAAGATCACAATGTGCTTCTGTGAAGAAATACCAATTTCATTTCGTACATTTGACTACAGTGGTTCATCATTTATTTCAAGACGAACACATAAACGCCATCAAAATGAGTAGAAGATCATGTGTACCTAGAGTTCTTTCCATACTGTCAAGATCATTACATCATCTGAAGTCTGTTGTATTATTCTGACAGAAAACACAGACTAAAAATGTCTATCGGGAGGGGGTGAACATCCTAGAGTAGATGGTGTTACTTTAAGCAGTAGTGGTGAATAATGGAGGTTAAATATACTGTGATATCGTCACTGCATAATCCAGTGACCGTAATTGGGGTAAATATGTTGAACAAGGACAACGGTGAAGAATTACAGAATAATAGGAACATGTACATTATACCTCTCATATTGGAAGGTTAAGAGCAAGCATCTTGGGGATGCTCTCCCCTCGAATATTTTTTAATGCTAAAGCTTAAGTACGTTAGTCCTTGGAGTTCATTCCTCTTCCTACAAGTTCACAGCTGTCTAAGAGTACATACTCGATCTGGATGAGTATTTCATGTTCATCGAAGGGGAAAATCAGTAATGCCCACAAATCACTGGTATTACCTCTTAAAAATTCTCTACCTTCAATATGATTTTCTATGCCCACTGCCAAGAATTCGAAGTTTTTAGGAGGTTCGGGGGATATTGAACCAATGAAGCTTTCGTAAACTTGGGCCATCTTCGTTCAAAGCTTTCAGCAAATTTTTAAACCACTTTCCAGCCAGCTTGAAGGACACATAAGTACAAGAAATATACGAAGTGGATACTTCCGTCAATCTTACCAGAAAGGAAAGAAAAGATAATATAAGAAAATCCTACCTGCATAGAAATATTGATCGACAGAGATAAGAAAGAAAACAATTCAATTAACAAGACATAGGAGTTTTAGGTGTAAATTGAGAGAGTTGTACTATACTTCATTATGTTTTGGAAGTTCTGCTAGTGCAATGTGGGATTTCTTTGACAAAAGAAGATTTGTTCAAAAGAAGATATAAGCTTAAAATACGAAGATTGCGATAAGCTCCACTGCGTCCAAGACAGTACCTCGAATAAAGAAAGAACCGCATAGAACACACCTTAATCTGCAGACGTACTCAGCGAGTAAGTACAACGAGATCTGTGCTGGACAAAGAATCAGGAAATAATAGTTTACCTGTACGTGAAACAATCGGGAAGCGCTTCATCTTATTATGGCTCGATGAAGATTCTTGTGAATAATGCTCTTCCCTCAAAATAATACTCCACTACGCAATATTTTAACGTCTGAACTCGAACACAATGAAATCAATCGTTTGTTTGCTGATCATCTGCAACTTCTTGTCGGGAACCAAACAAACCTACCAGACCACCCACACGAAAAGGGAAGGACTTTACTTCTAGGACACATAGTCAACCTCAAAGTAGCAACATAGGCAGGGCAGCACCATAGCTACCGTAGGTTCCTCTTCGTGATGCAGGATTAGGTCACGCAACTTATCCCCTCTACACTGTCATCTTTCCAATTTCTAGAACCATCATTGTTCCTACTCTAGACCTAAACTGAATCCCATCAAAGAAGATGTAACCACGTAAAGTTCTTTCATTTATTCACCTACACCTTTCTACGCCTTCATTGAACTTGATGGTTTTCGTACATATTAAAACGTATGATCACGTACATTGTAAAGTTTTTATTTGCCGTGGGCACTCAGATATGACTCCATTTATTTGTTGATAACATTTCATATCCAGATTTATTCAGAGACAGAGCTTTGATGGCCAGGAACTTTATAGAGCAACGTAACTTCAAGTTCTCAGCATCAACAGCTTACCAGAATTTTCTTTAAACAACTCGTTGGAGCCGATAATATCCATAGATATATACATACCGTAACTTCACCAAGGGATGAAAATCTTCCAGTGTCCGTTGTTAAATATACAGGATTGATCGTCATCATACTTTCACACATTGTATGAGACAGTACACCAACAGATCAATGGAAGACGACTTTAGGATATAACTAAAGAACAAATTTCTGTTTGTTGCAGTTGAAAAAAACAACGCTTACCAAACTATTGGAGAGATTCGACTTCAAGATCGTGTCGTGTAGTCGCACAGCATTCTTTCAAGGCCTTGCAGATCTTTATGAGAGCAATGATAGTAGAGACTGGGCCCGCAGACGAATCTCATGATCCAGAAACAAATATTGAGCATTTGGTGAGGTTGACCTCAAATCCCCTTTACTGCGCAAAGCAATTAAACTAAGGCAACGATTGAAACCAACGAAAGCCAATGCGTGCGTTGTCGAGTCAAAAGTGTGAGAATATCGAGATCTCCATATGTAGGTATTGACTTGCGATAAATGTGTTTCATCTTTGAAAAGCATCGTTCAGGACAAATCAAACAAAAGAAGCCAGCACTATGAGAACTGTATGAAGGAATGGCGAAGACTCAATCAAACATCTCTACCAAACAAAAGAACTCAGCAGCAAAAGAACTACATGTAGGAACTGCGAAGACTCAATCAAACTGCTGTACCAATGACTTTATAGTATTCTATGATCCTCATACCCATTGTCAAACCCGATGAAAAGACAAGACGAATCTGTCGATTCTTAGGTTACTGTCGATTCTAGTTAAAAAGAACTAGTGTTTTTTTTCTTTTTTCAGAAAACGTTGTTTGGTGACGTCTTCTATGTTCACCAACTCCCCTTGTTCTCCGCCCACATAAAAGGATTAAACATATGTTATGAAGACTTTCAAATCAGTAGCGTATATGATAAATGTTACGTTGCCTTTGTTTGATCAATATGCTTTTACAGTAATTTAAAAGACTTTTAACAGAAAAATAAGGAAATACAGAATAATGATATATATAGTCTCAATAAATAACATATGAGGCTATGTAGTTTCACATTTAATATGAATTATTTTTAAATTCATCAAACACTTCTTGAAAAATACAGTAACAATTCTACAATACAGTAACTTTGAATAAATGCTCATACATTGGCAAAGCTTGATATAAACAATCAAAACTCTCTCATATTAAATGAATCAAATAAAATTAGTCTATATTAGTATCAATTGGTCATTCCTTACACATCAATAATGAAATTTGATATTTTTTTCAATTTTTTTCCAATATTTTTTAGAGAATTATTTACTTTTCTTAAATTTTATTTCATCTTTTTAGTCTCAATGAATTCGTCGTTTTTTACATTTCTTAGGCTAAGCATACAATAATAAGCTATTTGGATCATATGAATAAAATGGAAATGAAGAATGGAAATGAATTGAAGATCAGGAAGATGAATAAAATATACATCATCAAACAACTTGCATGCCAGTTTTTTTTTGAAATTTTCTAGTTTAAAAATAAAATATGAATAGAAATAGAAGTATATATTGTATCAAAAGTTATAAAATTTATGTTTTTAGTGGATTATAGATATATTGTGAGTCACACAGATTACAATAATCAAGATTTTATAAAGTTCAAATCCAAGCTTCAACCTGTAGGTTCAACTGTTAGTCAAGACTTGAATTATTTGATTATTGAGCTTCATTTCATAGAATTATTGATAAATAAGTGGATTTTTTGGCTACCAAGTTTCATCTTGTAGGCTTAATAAATTGTTGTTCATTATTACTTTGAAGTTCATAATATGGATATATTTTAACATTTATATTTTTCTTTTGCTCTTTGAATAATTTAAACCACAATATCTTACATCTTGAATATTAAAATTTTTCATTTCTGTAATATCTTGCATGGATATTACTTCATTAAAGAACTAGTTTGTTAAATGTATTATATCTACATTATATGTTGATCTATCTATCTTCTTGTACAATTAGTCTTACACATATTTTCATATTGATCTTGATAAAAAAGATGTACATAGATCATAGAATCATCAAAAAACGTGGTTAAAATTTGGCATGAATACACATATAGCTTTTAATTTTATGTGAAGATGTGGATTTTTTATTTAAAAAAAGGAATCTGTTTGTACTTTCTTTAGCTGATTCACTTTTAGCGTCTTCTTAAGTTCTTGAACTTAGGTATGAAATTTTGAAGATGCATGTAAAAGTATATTACTTGATTATTTTACTTGCAAGTATTTTCAAGACACAATCATATTTCTAATCCAAGGATAAAATATTGCTCTTCTTTTCTTTGTCTATCAATGAAACATAAAAGCTCCAATATATCTTAGACCAGAAAGTTTCATGATCTTTACAATCACTTTAGATGGATTCAATCATTCATTAATGTAATGTTTTAACAATGTTCATGTCTTTTGATTCCATTATGCATCAAGACTTTCCAACTTGCAAAATTAAATGTATCTACAAAATGTGAGATTTCTATCTTAGCTTCATAGATACATCTATAAGTTCATTACTCAGATGTGAGATCATTTTAAATGCGGAGAAGGTTCTTTTCACTATTGGAGTGAAGAGTGTAATTATCTATGATGTGATCAGGATCATGGTTTTCGCTTAATTTGGATTCAAACTTTAACATGAGCTGACACTAGCTAGCTACTTGTCTACTTGAAGTTGGAGAGATGATGTTATATAAATCAACTCTCATCTTATAGATGACGAAAACATAAGCTTACGTGCATGGACGAAAACCCTTGATGTTATATAAATCAACTCTCATCTTATAGATGACGCAAACATAAGCTTACGTGCATGGACGAAAACCCTTGAGTCCATCTGAACACCCGTCGAACCCACGTCATCCGATGGGATTGCAAGAGACTCGAAGAAAGCACGCATAATTTATTTCTTTCGTCCTCCCTGCCCCCCTTGTGCTACAGTTAAACCCATTATAATATACCATGGGGAGAAGTTTCATAATCATGTGACGGCCGTTGAGTTGCATGGGCAAAGTTAGGCTTGATTAGTCGAATCTCATTTTGTTAACTTCAATGTTGGCTCGAGATGGAGACGTTATGTAGTAGGTCAAGACTGATTTATACTCATGCAAAAAGGGTCTTCGCATTTAACAGCGCATTCCACCACGTACTTAGGCGACTTGAGAATTTTAATGCCCTCTCGGTAGGAGCAGAAAGGCAGTCATTCTTACAACCGAGATTTCGAAGTATGTACACAAATTAATCCTCGTACTAAATACTTTCCACGCTATTTTGTATCCGACCAACTTCCGAAGGAAACCATGAAAGATGCGTAATAAGAGTGGATATTCTCTGTTCCTGAAGCCGGGAACCAAAATCAGTCAACAAACTATTCCAATTAAAGAAGATGGTTCCAATGATTTGTCATGGCGTGATTTCACGTTGGATAATCGACGAGTACTTGCAACAAGAGATAAGTGCGAGGTGTGGAGTCAACTCCACACACATTTAGAGTGGAAACACCTGGTTCATTCATTCGGTGCTTCTCGTACAACTCCAAGGACATTAAGCCATCAGCACGGATCGATGGATGGAGGGATTGAAGGAAGGGGCCACGCCAAGCACGCTCCAAGTGATGCGTGGTGTGGTACACAACTTCCCCAGGCTGAATCTTCGACGGCGGAGGAGGAGCCGATGGCAAACACACCAGACGCATTGTATGTAAACGTCGATCACCGCCTGCCAGTCGCCGGCGCAAGTTGAAGAAAGTCGGACGGGGTTAGGCAAGTTGCTGGCTCTCGCTGGATTGGAGAAAGACCGGGCTTCCCGGCGTTTCTTGCATTTTCCTTGTCGGTGAAGATTCTTGAGGACGTGGAGTCAAACAGTTTTGGTAAAAGGTGAGGCGGTGCTCTGTAGGACTTTAGTACATTGGGTCGAGAGTACGAGGCCCGTACCAGTACGTATATAGCGGGACACTAGATAGAGCGGCGTGATCCCCATGCAATTGCGGTTCTTGCAAATGCGGTCCCAAGTACTTCGGAGCCAAAATAGTGTTCTTGGACGGTCTTGAGCTCCATGGACCCAATTTCCACGCGAAGACTTGGATGACAGCTAATCCGAGACCCGAAAGGCCGAGAAAAGCAAAGGCGGGGGGTGGGGTGATGGCGGCGAAAGCCGTCAATAGACCTGGAATAGGAGAAATTCGAAAGGCAGGCGTGACGCGCCACCGCGACGGCGGTTGTGATTCAATCTGTGCGCCAGTTGTGGTTCGAAAGCTCCCTAGACGCAGGCAGGCTGTAGCGGGAACAGCGGTCGTGATGTTGCCGAGGGGAGCGTCCTCCCTGGGCAAGGGGAGGGGAGTGGGGGAGGGGGAGGGTCTTTGTCGGGAGCTCGGGGAGATGGTGGTCAGTGGGTCGATCCGAGGACATCCGGCGGAGCACGAAGGGCGTGTGGGTCGTGGACGCTCGTATTGTACATCGTAATGGTTCGGCGACTCGGGCGTATGGAGATGGAGGTATGTATTTCTGAGCGAGCACTGTTGGGCCGACCTGACCCACTGTTGCGCGTGCGGGAGGGAGGTAGGGAGGAAGATGTCATGTTGTACGAATAAACTGCTGCTGCTGCAATCTTTCTCGCTGTCAGGATGTACCGGACTCTCTCAGGAAAAGAGTCTGTGTTTGTCTACCTGCCTGTGAGCCTGTCTGTCTGAGAGAACTTGAATTGCACAAAGCGGAGGGAAAGCTCCAATGAGAAGACTCATCGAACCGCTATATTGATTAGTGCCTTACCGTTGCCTGCCCCGTTCTCGACGCACTCGCCTGAACTCAATTCTTCATCGAACTGGGGGTGGGGATGATTCTTGAGATCGGATCCACAAGGCACCTGTAGCAGCTGCTGCAGAGTAGTTATGTGGCGCAAACGAAGGGAAGTGGGAGTGGTGCAAGGCTAACAGCGGTGTGCGACATAGCTTCGCAGAGCGCTGCGCAGAGCCTTGGAGTCTGTGATCAAGGCTCCAGTTGATCCTGGCATTCGGCCAACACCATCATTGTCTGCTTTCTACCTGCCAATTCTTTTCCTCAGTCTCAGTCGCTTGGAGTTGATGCCACTCGCACTGAACCTCACGCAGAAGAAGGATCTTTAGGCCCTCTGAACCTGTTTCCAGCGTCTGTCCAGCACAGTTAGCATATTCCAGCGATAAGATTTTTTTTTCTGAAGCTGCCAAAGAGAGCTCCCGGCACTTTCATTCGGAACGTGCCAGGGTGATCGGGGTGAAGCAAATGGCAGAGCGTTTCGAGTGATTTTAAGTCTGCAATTTGAGGGAATTCTGGTAATGTTTTTTTTTGCATTGTTAGCTACCGAACATTCTCAATCAGGCCCCAGGAAGTCTGTCAGAGAATAGTTCACTGTGTTTTTTCGAAGACAGACGAGAGAGCGAGCGCGAGAGAAAGAAAGAATCGAAGAGTAGGGAAGAGAAGAGAAATGACAATGTTTTGGCCGTGCGATTGGTTTTTGAATTTGCGGAAGCGGCAGAAACGAGCGCAGGGCGTTTCATGCGAGACGCTGTCCGAGAGGTCCAGCGATCAAAGTGAGACCGCTTCATCGAGCTCCAGCGTGCCTTCCGTCAGGAGGAGAAGCGGGCGGAAGAAAGGCAAGATATCGGCTGCCGTGTCCCGAATGAGGGACGCATATGTCAACTGCATGCTGAATGCTGCCACCATTGGAGATTGCTCGGCTTTGGTCTACGGAAATGGCTATTGTGGCAATGACTTCCAATTCAAAGGCTCGTATCTTAGTATCGAAGAAGAGGCGGCTTACATTCGCAGTATGTCTCAACGATCTGCGAGGTGAAGGACTGTCTAGAAACAGGTTGTCTTCGGCGTAGCGGAGGGCACAAGAGAGAGTTGACGAGAGTGATGTAGAGACGAGACGATGATGTTTTGTGTACATATTTGATGTATATGGAGAGAGAGAGAGAGAGAGAGAGAGAGACTTGATAATCAAGATTTTTGTATAGGACACTCATCAGATTGTAACGTAGGCGATGCCACGATCATGCCTTCGATATGGAATCGAGTTGCGCAAAGCGTATTCGTCGCTGCTGGCCGTGCCGTGCTGTGAGTCTGGGAGCCCTTCTTGGAGTTGTGTCTCCGTTCTGGTTGCCAATGTGGCAAATGTGCCATATGTCAAGACTTCTTGGACCGAGACTGAAATTAAAGTTGGGGTTGTTCGACATAATATTGTTTGTTATCCAGACTATGCCGGATTTGGCGTTTTTCTCCATTTTCTGTACAGATTTGGCCACTTGTCATTTCCATTCGCGCTCAGATTTCTCCTCGAGCCTTCTGCAGAATAAATCAGTCTGTTGTATGGTTGTCTTTGTGCCCGCCCGCCCGACAGAGCCGAAGACTCGTCACGGGCACTTCTTGCAGTCTCACGAGGCTGGCCCGAATGGCTTCGCGATGTCGGCAATTCTGACAGTCGTTGTCGAACTCAGAGTTTCCCGAGCGGCGGGCGCGGGCTGCGTTACGTGGGGGCCGAGAGAAATGTGCATGCTGCTGACTCGGCGAATACGAGAGAGCCCGCGAAACTCCGCACCGGCGCGTCAGAAATGTCGGATCTCACTGACTCCGGCAACAAGGCCGCGGGCCGTGATCGAGAGAACCTACAGCTGACGGTGACCTAAATAACTCTCCTCGCGCATTTCTCCAGGGTTTCAGGTGGACTTCCTCACGATTCTCCAAGCGAAATTCGAAGGCATCAAAGGTATAGTGCACATCCTCGATCACGCCCAAGTCATCGCTAGGACAAAGAGTTCCTTCCAAAAGGATGGGACTATCACGTCAAGTCCAAGAACGAGGATAAAATCTGCTCAGTACAATGGAACTGGATTATAGCATCCCGATCACGACGTAGAATGTACAGTCCTTCAGTAAATTACAGAAAAGCAAAGCATGAATTCTCTTCGCCGCTGTACATCCTAAAAATTGCACACATGTCTAGCGTAATGAATGCTTTAATTCACACCAATCTCCATGAGGGTCTGTACAAACGGGATATGTCAAACTGAATCAAGTAGGATTTTTGGCAAGCTCGTAATCTGGTGCAAGTTAAAACCGGGTTTTCCTTAATTGCCAAAAGTATCTCTTTAACTTTAAAATATTCCCGAATTTGTGATATCATACATTATCTGGTTCTTGTACGTAATCGGTGTAGACAATCACAATCGGTGTAGACAATCACGTTAACATGAGACATGCATGTCGATGATTACAAGAATCTGTAAAACTCCATCGGTGGTGCACATATGTTGCGTCTTGCTTATTGGGTTTTGAATTTAGTCGTTGAAGTTACTTGATAACTTTCACTAAGATAATTCGAATATAAATCCAAGTATAGAATAACGGATGGCACGTTAATCAACTGCAATAGCAATCTCCAAGCTAGCTTTGGGTATGAATAACATGAGGATGTCAAGTAAATCATGATGTCAATTTGTTCTTGAATGAAACTTTTTATAACCACATATATTTTAGTATCTGTAAAACACAGGTTGAAGACTTATGGTGTTGAACTGATAACAAATGCCATATCCAAAATATGTATGTTGATTGGAGGCTTACCACTGCATACTTTAGTTTTTATTTGTACTCCAGATTATCATGAAATAATTTTATAATAAGACCCTTCATATGTCAATAATGTAAATCCACTTTGATGTGTCATTGTTGCAATAACTTGTAAACAATTTCTATTTTGAAAAGAAAAGATGAGAAGATTATGAATCACTTTTGAAGTTTATGAATTATTCTGAGTGAAATTTTGAAAGACATAAGAGCTAATTTTTCTGGAATATCAATAACATTTTGAAATATCAAAACAATGATGATGATTTTAGTTTATTAGTATCCATATAAAGATTGATGTAAGTTGTGCATATACAAGACAACTAAAGAACTTTGAGATGAATGTTGAAGAAGACATGATTTTGCAATGAAAGTTTCCATGGATTGAAGCTTCTTATATGTACTTTATTCAGTTTTCATTTTGAATTTATGAGAAAAATATCTTGAAAGTGTATCTTGAGAACAATTGAAACCTAGTTTTTATGTTTTGTATTGTATGATTACTAATCCAAATGAAACTTTTGATCATGAGGTGAAGAAGTATATTAAAATTAGAATTATATACAAATTATAATTAATGTTCAAAAAATTGAAATATAATATCCCAGATTACCACCAAATCTACTAATAGTCTTGGCAATGTTATACCTGTCTGTCATGGCCAAGATCAACAATTCTCAAACTCAAGAGATTTTGAGTAGCATCCAAGCCATTCAATGTTGTTATTTAAGATTTCTGTGTTGATGGTGGTCTTATATGGAACCTAAGTATGGGATCCTGGTTATAAGAAGATAGGTTGAGAATGCGTGGATAGAATGCAAAAGATATTTCTACAAGAAGAATTGGGTGTTAGAAAAAAAATTCCATATATTATTATCATAAACATATGAAGTTTGGTTTACTATCGAGTCAGAAGCTCTTTACTTGATCATCATTTACATCACAAGTGTATGAGATGTCTTGATGCTTCTCGCCTTCTTACTCAAGCTTTGGAAGTCACGCCTTCCATTGGATATATATTGGATATGATGACTTGATTTTCAAAGTGAAATGTGACGGAACGTAATTGAAATTTGCAACTGATGGTATTTTCTGAGCATCTAAAGGATAAATTTTGATAACATTATATGAAGCGTAATAAAGTTTTATCAACTTCATATTTATTCTATGCTTGTATACATTAAACAACAATACTCACTCGCGGAAATCTCCATTGTTCTTATGTAATATTATTACACGTCTGCGAATCCTAGCAAATTAGTTTGACGTGTTGGAGTGGTCACGTTATTTTTAATTATGGTAACAGCTTTTATGGATACGTATTACCTTGGGGTACTCTGCATGGACGATATAGAAATTGAAGAAATACAATGATTTATTATTAGTAGAATTGTATGTATTTGTAAATTATTTGGCAAAAGAATATTGATTATGAAGAGCATGTGTTTATTAATATATACTAAGTATGAAATTATTAGATTAACTCATAAGATTGATGTGGAAAATTTCTATTTTTGTTACATATAATATTTTTTGATTTAGATTGTTAGATAGTGTTTTTTGATTTATGTCGTTATAATAGTGATGTCATCGTTCCAATGGTCTAGATAGTAGTTGCAGATAGATCTTTCGGTAATGAATGTTTAATTTGTAATGTGTTCTTCACCATTTTCATCCTCTGTGTACGATGTATTTGATCTTTACATCTCATTCGTATGTGTAACCATCTTTAGTTAGTTAGAACTAAAGTAGAGATTACTCTAAATATTGATGTAGATACTTTAGTGTGCACTTTAGTCAAGTGCGCGGATCGCTGCCACGTCAGCGATCCGCGCACTTGGTAGGTACAAAGTGGATGTGTTAGTTGACAGTGCCACTTCAGCAATCCGTGTGCTTGTAGGTAAGGATTGAGTGTGTTAGTTAGTGTGTTAGTTGGGTGCGCCACGTTAGTGATCCGTGTGCTTGTTAGGGTTATCCGCCACGTCATCCATCCACTAGGAGTGGGATGGATGGTGGAGATTAGATCTTATCTCCTTGTACTTGTTGGTGAGAGCTATATAAGGGAGAAGAGAACCATTGTTGGTATCTTTCATCTTCAGAGTTTACGTTTCTATCTTCGAGTGAGCTTCTCTCTAAACCCTAGTGTTACAGTATGCATTCAAAATACTCGATAAATCTTATTTTCTATTTAAAATGAATAAATTCAATACCTTGATTGGGATAGATAGACTAGGGTATTTTACCAAAGGAACAAATTTATATTTCACTCATAAATAAGCCTTCATAAATAGTACGTAAATTCACAAACAGCGCAAACTCCTAAATAAATCTATGAAAAACCTTTATACGAGAAGTACACCTCCATATAGTACTGAAATTACATCAAGGTAAGATCGATTTAATGTGTTTCTCTTCGTAACTAATCATGTTTGCTGGCAATGGAACGTGAAAACAAAAAGCAAAAGGTGATTGATTTGAGTACGAAGCTGGCCATTGTCAAGCACCTTGATGAGGGATAGAGTATCAGGGCCGCCACTGATACTCAGTCTGTTCAGCGTTTCAAAAGACTCAATACAGATGGAAGTACCTGTAACGTGCAAGAATGGTGAAGCAGAGCGATGTTAACATTGTTTTATGAAGATGGTTTGTGTCAGCTCGAGCGACTGGATATTTGATGAGAGCGATTCAATCTGGGAGGAGAGGAGAAGGCCAATCAAAGTGCTCGCAAAGTTGGAATCGAAGGTGGTGGCTTTTCAGCGTCGCAAGGATGGCTTCACAAATGGAAGCAGCATAACAATGTCCAGGTCGGATAAGATTAGCAGAGAATGTGGAAATGTTGACCTTGAGCGCGTTGAAAGATGGAGACCGTCTTTAAAATTCTATGTTGATGGGTTCTGGGATTGGAAAACGTGTTCAATATGGATGAAACAAATTTTTTCTTTCGTGCACTCCTAGATTCAAAGTAGTAGACATGAGCATATTGAAAGTCCAATTCTCTTAAAATTGGATCTAGCCATCACTTTGAACTAGAAGTATTTTTTGCTGTAAGACGTTGGTAATGTCTCATTCAATCTAGCTGGTAATGTCTCATTCAATTTAACTTTAGCATTAGGATGCTCACCTTATACTCTTATCATTTTGATTAGTTCTTGATGATCCAAGCCATATGTTTTAGGTTGAGTGCATCATTGCACTCAGCATGTTAATGTGCGCAACTATTTAATGTTGCTATCTCTTCAACAAAGAATACTGTCTATGATACACAACATCAGAGCCTTCTTTCGATCCTCTGGAGGCTGATGATTTGTGATAGGAATCACAAAATTTTTTGTTACTCGATGAGCAATTGCTCTGCAATATTTCACTAAATAGTACATTCTTCTAGCCGCCATAGAAGAACCTCAATACAATTCTACTTTCACGTTACGTCCCGAGTAGAAACTCGATGGACAATTCAACTACATGAATTGATCCATCCGTTTGAAGATGATGCTAAGAAACAAAGGAGTATACGAAGTCGTTGTTCTCTATCCGGCTTCCCTTGGTGGTGATGACAATGTTGCTATTCCACGCTGACGAATTAAGGCCATTGTAATGATCCAGGCTAGTG